ACATTTCCAGCTGCAGGGAAACTGACGGAAGCTACTCCTGTTAGCCGGGACGGTGGCTATTGGAAGGTACCTTCAGGAATCCGTTAATGTAAACCGGAAAAGGCCGGAACGCAGCACGCAGGGGTGCTGGCGACATGGAACCTGGAAGTGTTGAAATTTCAAATATATTTTCCAATTGCGCCGAGTGTGTGTCCTTCACATGCCCGTCCGGATCAGCAACCATGCAAACAGTGTAAGAAGCATGCTTTGTGCAGACGACAATGAACAGTAACATGCTATCAGTTACTTTTGTCCATTATTATGCATTTATCCTTTGCTGTCCATTATTATGTATTTATCCTTTGCTGTCCATTATTATCATTTATTGTCCATTATTATTTTTTTATTTCTCCTTTCTTTCCTTTTCTTCAACTCATTTGGTACATCAAGGCGGCGCCAGCTAGCTCTGTATATCCGACAACGTGGTCCTGTCGCATTCATTTCTTGATGACCCCTTGCTGTTAACTCGCGGAACTAGTACAAATAAGGCAAACGATAACACAGATAACACAAAAACAAAGCGTTAACGTGTCCAAGACATGTCAAGCTTAAAGGAGTGTTCCATATTTGTGTGGGGATTTTAACCGAAAAAGCGGGCTTGAAGATCATTCGGTGCAGTTCACAGCCATGCCCTTCATAAAACCTAAACCCCTCTGGTGTCCGAGCTGCACACCGCCAAGATGTGCAGACTATTTCGGGATGCTATTTCAAGGTCACCTATGCATCCATGGCGCCATATTAACGCCAATCAAATCCTGCCGTTCCATGAGCCGAGCTACAATCAAAGCCAAGAGAAACATAATTGCTCAGTCGTTCACATGTGGTGTTTGTGAGCACTACTTCCAGATATAGCGGTCATTCATTGTCTCTCGATCAATGTTGTGTAGGGCGCGGTAACGTGATCGAGCAATGCCATATTGAGGCGCATATTTACTAAGTGGAGAAATTGTGTTGTCTTGAGCAGTCTTTTCCACTAAAAGCACGCCAACATTTCATGGTGAACATATTTCATCATATCTGATCCTTCCTTCAAAACCTTCAAACGTGGGGCATTCCCTTTAGGTATTACGGGTTTAAAAATTAGATTGGGTCAACGGAGATTCAATTCTGGATTTCCGGATCAACAGAGCTTCGTTGCATGGCACATAAACTGGCTCCAGTCCTAGACATCCAGAGGCAAAATGTCATGTCAGCTCATTTCACGACGCGAGTTTACCGAGCGAGCGCAAACGACCACCTTGACATTGCAACATCTGTGCGCAGTCATGCTAGCGCCAGCGCTACGGCACTGTTGTTGTTTGCAACATTGACAACAACAATGTAAACGTTACGAGATTGTTGACGACATTGTTTAAAGTGAACAATGTCGCCTGACAACGTAATGCTGTTTTCCAGGCGTGGTCCGCCCCGACCTTGGTCCTGCGTATCAATTGGGCAATTGACAACCTGGCTTGACATGCTTGTCAGTCGTCCATGTCCCCATTCATTTGTAATAGTACCGCAATACATCATAGCTGAACATTCATCTGTTGTAAATGCGTTGGTACGGCCATAAACAGCTGTATACACGGAGAGGCTGGTCTGAGCGTGGCGGGGGCACGTAGCCGACAACTGACCGAGGAGAGCATGTGCGCGAACTGCGGTACGTAATATTACTTAAGCAAGTGTTCTTTCAAGTCGCATGGTATTCCCTCAATTTGTGAACGGGTAGCATAAAAGGCAGCAGCAGAGGCAAACAAATCGCCGTTCACTTCGAATTCGGCACATTACGGGCGGGTTTTTATATCCTAACATGCAGATGTCGTATGAATGTGGCACGTGCTAAATATACCCCAAAATTATGAAAGCTGGATAAATGCCTGTGCTCTAAGCGCGTTAACAAAATGCGTGCGCGCGGGAGGCAACGATCTCCACCGATCGGGGCGCGCGGGGGCCACGATTTCCAATGATCACGACGCGCTGGGGAAACGATCTCTAATGATCGCGGCGCGCAGGGACAACGATCTCCAGTGATCACGGCGCCAGGGAAGCACCGTCTCCAATGATCGCGAAATGGCGTCATATTTCGTTAACCTACCGACCTTCGGCCAGCCTATTGGGCAACGACTGTCACCACCCTGAAGTAAACACCTGCAACATATGACGCCATCAGTCACCTCCGAGACAGGCAGAGTCGCGGCGGCTGCGACCAAGTCGTGTCAAACCAAGCTGTCAGTGTCGGCCGGGCGTTACTGCGCGACTGACAAGCTGTCACGCAGGGGTATTTTCCGATCTGGCATCGATTTTCCTTCGCGCCGTGTTCGGCCTGCGGGACGCGTGGGCAGCAAAAACGGAGGGGTGGAGGCGACGTTGGCTCCACGGCGGCACAGCGGTTCGTACTGCTGGTGAGTCGTGTCTGAGCAATGTCTGAGCCATTCCAATTGCGGGTCCTAAAGCTACCGAGTAATCCGACTCAGCTCCGCCAACTGCAACGACGTCCAAATTTTGTCGTCATGAAAATGCATTCTGCAAGGCATCATGCGCCCTACGCTTGCAAATTGAGTCATTTGCATGCTGCACTAACGAATGTAGAGCGTCGGTCGTTCTCCATGGCAGGTGAAGTTCAGCTGATCTCCACTCACTGAACGCAAAGTCGAACGTTCTAGTTATAACATGGGGCGATCTGCCGCTGCCTCATAGCGTAAAGCGCGAGTAGCTGGCCCATTACCCTGGTCCATTACTCCATTACTCCATTACCCTCGTCCATTGTTCTGATCATGAACAGCGTATGCCGGCAAACAAGCACGTTTGCATGATCTGCGGTTCGCAGTGAAGTGTCAATCTCACTGGCCAATCAGCGGCTGATTCCTGCTAACGGATAGGGAGCCACGCCCTCCACCACAGACCAGCACCAACTGCACCGTTCACCCAAATACAGACCAGCATCCGCGGCACCGCTCACCCAAATACAGGCCAGCATCCGCGGCACCGCTCAGCCAAATACAGGCCGGTGCCAACTGCACCGTCCGCTGAAATGCAGGCCGGCACAAACTGCGCCGTCTTCTCAAATGCAGACCAGCACCAACCGCACCGTTCAGCCAAATGCAGGCCGGCACCAACTGCACCGTTCACCCAAATACAGGCCGACACCAGCAGCACCGCTCACCCAACCGCAGACTGGTACGAACCGCACCGTCCACCCAAAATGTAGGGCGGTGCCAACGGCACCACCCGAATACAGGTCGGTACCGACTGCACCGTCCACTCAAATGCAGGCCGGTAGCGACTGCACTATCCATCCAAATGCAAGCCAGAACCAATGGCACCACCCGAACACAGGCAGACACCAACCGCACCGCTCACCCAAACGCAGGCCGGCACCAACTGCACCGTCCACTCAAAATGTATGCCGGTGTGAGCTGCACCGTCTGCCAAAATAAAGACCGGCACCAACTGCACCGTCTACCCACATTTAGACCTGCACTAACTACATCTTCCGCCCAAATTCAGGCCGGTACCAGCTGCACCATACACACAAATACAGGCCGGCACCGACCGTCTGCCCACCAAAAAGGACCGATACCAACTGTACTGTCTCCCCAAACACAGATTGGCGACATCCGCCTCGTCGCCAGTCCTCGCGAAGGCTCCTGAGCCACATGGCTCAAAAACGGGACACTGAACTCTGCTCAGTATGTGATTTATTTCACAACGTACCATTAACAACCCAAGCAGTCATGCCATGTGGCGTCTGGCACCTTTAACACCCACACCATCTTTGCCTATTTCTATGGACGGAATCGTTCCGCGTCACGCCTCCGGATGTGGACACGCTACGAGAAAAACCCTCGAGACGTTACAACACACGGAAACATGACAGGCTTCAGCAACAGTGTCTCCGTGAACGCAGTACGGTACGATACGATATTGATGAGGCAGACGGAAGGGCAGGTGTGGATAGCGTCCTTTCAAAAGAAGAGAAGAGACGCAAACACGTACAGCCTCGTGGACAAAAAGTGGCATCCCATCGAGAGCTTTTTACAACGTGGCATAATGCGGGCCAGAGAAATCATCACAAAAACAAACACATTCCAAAAACGACGGGCTATTTACGGGTTCAGTACAAACATCGCTGTAAGTAAAAAAGTAGAAAAGTAGTGACAGCACCGCTCAACAGCAACAACAGCGCCACTCGGCACGTCATAGACTGCCCAATCTCTATCACACGGTCGAGCCATCGGAACCGAACGCGCCATCCAGTCTGCCAGAGCACCTCACGCACGACCCCCATATGCTAACAGATCTTGGCGTGGTCACCACCGGCAGAATGGACACGCGCGTTGGATAGCGTTCAGAAATGATCACGTACATTACGGGACGTCGTGGTTTGGTGATAACTGCTTCAGCCGTCTACTGAGGATGACACCGGAGCGGGGAAATCCCACCGATGCGGTCCATTCGTATCGACTCATCAAACTTGCCTAAATCTACACCTCCTATCCGATTACGGTCAATTTATCGATGAGTTCCCATGACGAAACGCAATAAAGATGTCGCAATTCGCTGCAATGTATGGCAGGGCTAGAGCGGGGCCAGAACGGCTGTGTGCGTGGGAGGAGGGGGAGGGGGATCGGTGGGGATTTGCCGAACGCAGTGGAAGTTTCCCCTGGAAGAACTGGATCCGCTCGCTCGTACAAGGCAGCTCCCTGTCCCCGGGTCCTGAGCAGCGACCACAGCCAGCGACGCCGGCACTGCAGCCTGCTACTGCAGCAGTAAGAAATGTATGCATGAGGCTACTGCAGTAGCTTCGTGCATAAGTTTCCAGCGCTGGAAGGACGCCACAGGCTCGATCGCTTCGCCTCTCGGCGTCCGCCGTTCACCGGGCACGCTCGGAATCTCCGGCTTCGGACTCTCGGACTCTGGACTCTGGACTCTGGACTCTGGACTCTGGACTTGGGACTCGGGACTCTGCACTCGGTACTAGGGACTCTGCACTCGGTACTAGGGACTCGGGACTCGGGACTCGAGACTCAGGACTCAGGACTTGGGACTCGGGAGATTGAACCAGCGATCAGATTGGACCTCGACTGGATCTCGTTCGTCCTGTTATCCCTACGGTATCCCTTAATTTGTTTACCACCCCTGTTTCACCCATGTACTTGTTTAACGTTCCGGTTCTGCCTGTGTGTTTGAATCAGTCCGTTGACACGACAGTCAGCTGAATGCCGATCTTCGGTGGGACGTGCCAGCTTGCCAGACAAATGTATCTGCGTGTGAACGCGCCAGCCCGTAAAATAAACATGAACCCTGGTCTGCAGGCCGCTACCATCAGCCAGGTTCAGCAACACCTGCTACCAACGGCCGTCGCCGCCGTCTGACCGCACCCGTCCAGTGTGTGCACCGTCCCACCAGCAGGCGGCCGGCCGGGGTCACAGCTCGGTGTGCCTGTTCAGGATCTTGTCCTCCAGCATCAGCTGCAGCTTCTCCACGTGGCGCTCCTGGTCGCGGATCTTGCGGTCGTACACCTTGCGGCCCTCTGCAGTTAGACGGGGACGGTCAGGACAGGTGCCGCCAGACAAGCACCCACGGTGCAGTCCCGTGTCTCACAAAACGTGCCGTCTTGGGTCATACCAGCATAAGCCCGAAATTAGGAGTACTTGAAGCACAACCCACTGCAGTATTGTGATGACCACTTGCACTAGTAGTATCTTATCTATCTTAAACGTCATCATGCACAAGGAATGTAAAAGAAATTGGTAAACCAGGGATATTGAGCTGATTTAGCCGTTCGTCTGGAAAACCTGAGGTACGGGGCTCGATTCCCTGCGGTACCCGCCCTTCCTGCCAGGGTGCGAATCAGACGCAGCCATATAGCCTCAGCAGCTGAATGCACTGCAAATCTCCAAAGACGAGAATGTAAGAAACACGTGACGATCAGTGGTGCCATCTAGTGAACAATATACACACGAATAGTCCACGACAGCGACTTCCGTGACAAACAAATACTGAGATCTTAACAACGGACTGCTAGCACTTCGCTCACACGAAACTCCATGTACGTCTGTCACAGCATTTTAAGACACTGTGCGCCCATTAAGCACTACGGTGGAGTAATAGCTACTGAACGTAGCACTGAACGTAGCTATTACTCTAAAATCCTGTGACATTTTTGTCTTGAAATTAGTCAAGAGTATGAAATTCCCGCGCCAACGAGCCGGGTGCATCACTCTAAGTGCTGCTACCATGAAGTGTTTTAGTCCACAGCGTTGGCAATGCACCGGCAGCGGCGGCGGTGGTGCACCAGCGCGGGGGCGGTGGCACCAATGCCGACGCCCCGAGACGGCCGCTCAGGGCCGACCGAACACACGTGACATGCTGGTGACGCTCCGCGAAGGCTTCCCCTGGAGGGGTGCTTTCGGAATGCCCAAATTTTCTCCGTCTATGAATGAGCTCGTGTGATTTCTGGCGAGTATGTCACTTGAAGGGAAAAACATCAACCCTGTTCCTAGCTGCACCCAATATCCGCACCAGCTGGTTCCAGGGATATTGAAGCCCTTCCCTCGAGAGCTTCGATGTTTAAAAAAGCGAAACATTTCGGCCACCGGACGCTCGCCGAATGCGAATATTCTTTCGGGCATTCCAACATCCACAATCCAAATGTTCAGCCCTACCAGGCCCCATACAGCTCCAGGGTGTCTAGCCCCCATCCTCATCAAGTTCCATGTATGTCCCTGACGACACTTCTACCCGCCGGGGCTGGCAGCTTACCCGACTTCTCGGGCGGGTCTCGGTCGAAGCCGTGCCGCTGGTCGGCCCCCAGCATCTCCAGCTGAATATGCCGCAGCTTCTTCAGACGCTCCTCGAAGTGCTTCAACTCCACCTGGACAAGGTCACACGGGCTCCGTCACCACCAGTCTTGGGTCGCTGGTCAGTGGCCAGGTCACAGCCTCAGGTCACTGGTAAGGTCACAGCCTCAGGGCATTGGGTGCTCGGCCCACTGGGTGGGGTGGTGTGAGAAGCCATCAGCTGACTTCTCGGCACCGTTGCCAATTCAGGCTTTGATGGCGGAGACAACAAAGCCTATGATACTGCAGGCCCTGAGTGTCTGTGTGGCACTGGAGCTTGGTTTGGATCGGACTTTCATGTAAGCCCTTTCGGCCAGCAGCGACTATTTCAGGGCTATGGGATGAAGGACAGTGGATAATGGTGGAGGAACTGCGTGCACCTGAGGGTCTTCCCGCCCGCACCACGGCCCCAGTCGGGGCTCGTGCTGTCACTTGGACGGGACTCTCAGTACGGAGCGCTTCGGCGCGGTCGCGACAATCCGGACGAGCAAGAGCAAGGAGAGAAGGGCTGAGGCCGGTGGGCGGTGTCCGGCACGATGGGAAGAGAGGGCGAGTAGAGGTCGACGCCAGCCGATGGGAGGTGTCCGGGCACGATGGGGAGAGAGGGGGAGTAGAGGCCGACGCCAGCTGGTGGGTGTCCGGCACGATGGGGAGAGAGGGCGAGTAGAGGCCGACGCCAGCTGGTGGGAGGTGTCCGGGCACGATGGGAAGCGAGGGTGAGTAGAGGCCGACGCCAGCCGGTGGGAGGTGTCCGGGCACGATGGGGAGAGAGAGCGAATAGAGGCCGACGCCCGTTGGTGGGAGGTGTCCGGCACGATGGGGAGCGAGGGTGAGTACGGACTGATGCCAGTCAGTGGCTGGCCGTGCTTCGATATTTGGCCACTAGTGTGGCAGGAATGTCGATGCCGTTCATGCTATCACGCTCTCGGCTCGGGGTTCACTGTCTGTTGCCCCTCCCCGTGCTCAGACTGGCCAATCAGCATCGAATCGGTTGGCGGCCCACCCAGCAGTCCAGGCGCCGAACGTGCGTGGTGAATCAGGCGGGCAGGTCAGATGTCAAGGTTCGGAGTCAAAGGTCAACGGAGTAGCAGCCGACGAACCGTGCGTGCGCAGGTCGCAGCAGAGCCAGAATTTCGGTAGCATGAATCTACTTCCTATGCACCCAGCTGAATGAATTTTGGAACTTTGGTGGCTGGCTGAGATGGAATGCCGTTGAGGGGGAGGGAAGATGCTGTGCATTAGCTTGAGGGGTTGAAGAGACGTCGTCTCTGGATCTGTGAACGCATGCATGAGCCTCTGTCGTCTCTTGAGCCTCTCCGGACATCTCCACAAGACGCGGCGTGATGCCGCGAGCAAAATCTCAACCTCATCAACCCCATCAAACCTTAACCAAGCCTCATCCGGTACTTAAGAACATGATGTCGTATATTAACCGACAGATGGCAATGAGCCCTCAGTTTGCAATCTTCTGATGTGTGACAACCACGGCGAGTGTGACAATGACTACACCTCTACCCCACAGCAAACGCTTCACTTTGGCAGCAAACTATCTCACCAACGCTTCACTCTGGCAGCAAACCATCCCACCAACCAGCAAACCCCCTCCTCACCAATCAGCTCACGCCGCCCGCCCAGCGCCGAGCCCTCGACCAATCAGCGGGTGAGCACGACTTACCCGCAGCGAATCCAACTCCTCGGCGTTGAAGTCGGCCTTGAGCGCGATCTGCCAGAGGCCGTCGACCTTGGGCTCGGTGAAGTCGCGGCCGGCCAGGCCGCTGATGCTGGCCACGTGCAGCCGATCGTAGCCCTGGCGAACCGTCTCGTGGAGCTCGCTGCAACGGCCGGCGCCGCGGGTCAGGCGCGGCGTGCGCACGGGCTGGACACGTGGCCGCGGACACGGCCAGTCCGGCGCCCGGTCTCGGGAGACGAGCGGATGGCGGTAGCAAGCCCGGTTCTCGCCCCAAACCGAGGCTCCTCAGTATTTAACTCTGCTCTTCCTGAATGGGGGAGCGTGGTCACGCAGAGCCCGTGCGGCCGACAACAGTGCTGAGCAGTGTCGGGCGGAGTTGGGGATGGAGCTGCTAATGACGTGGGAATGGAGCTAAATGGTGGAGCTGGGGATGGAGCTGCTAATGACGTGGGAATGGAGCTAAATGGTGGAGCTGGAGATGGAGCTGCTAATGACGTGGGAATGGAGCTAAATGGTGGAGGTGGAGATGGAGCTGCTAATGACGTGGGAATGGAGCTAAATGGTGGAGGTGGAGGTGGAGCTGCTAATGACGTGGAAATGGACCTAAATGGTGGAGCTGGAGATCACATCCACTCACCCAGGCTGAGCGAGAATCCTGTGCAAGCCCATGCACATGACGCTATGAGGATTAATCCTGCATATAGTTACGCCTTCACAAGAGACCTGGCCGTTCCACATAATGGTCTATATTGTGCTTACAGCCAACACTGAGACACTTTAACTGTTGCAAGCGTCATCCCTTCCACACAGCTAAATGTCATAGAAAAACAAAAGCGGTATTGTCGTGTCAAAATTTCGATCCTCTTTCAAATCCAGCCGGTGAGTTTCCGCCTGGAGCTGTGACGACAAGGGATTCCCGGGAATCGCCCCATCACGGGCGACTCCTCATCGTGCGTGGCACCATATAAGATGGCATGTGACAAGTAGCCCCAGGCTGGGAGATCACATCAATCTCTACATGTCTTGCCAACGTTCTCGATTTGACCTGCTTTCATTGGCCACTAGTCGGAGACCCGCGGCTGAGACTCACTTGATGCGCGACTTATAGTCGGAGTACGACTTGTTCGCCTTGAGGCTCTTCGCAGCAGGTTCGTCGGACCTGGTCAGCGCAAAAGAACGACACAACATTAGACAACAGGTGAAGCAGCGACTCGTGCGTTTTGAAGGTGAAGCAGCGACTCGTACGCCTTGGAGTATGCAGCCATTCTCCATTACGCTTACTGGGAGGCGGACAAGACAAGCCGCTTGTCCTCCATACGGCAATCATTTGTGGCGAAGAATGATGGGCTCTGAGTGGTGTGAATAGTGATGGGCTCTGAGTGGTGTGAATAGTGATGGGCTCTGAGTGGTGTAAATAGTGATGGGCTCTGAGTGGTGTGAATAGTGATGGGCTCTGAGTGGTGTGAATAGTGATGGGCTCTGAGTGGTGTGAATAGTGATGGGCTCTGAGTGGTGTAAATAGTGATGGGCTTTGAGTGGTGTGAATAGTGATGGGCTCTGAGTGGTGTGAATAGTGATGGGCTCTGAGTGGTGTAAATAGTGATGGGCTCTGAGTGGTGTAAATAGTGATGGGCTCTGAGTGGTGTGAATAGCGATGGGCTCTGAGTGGTGTGAATAGTGATGGGCTCTGAGTGGTGTGAATAGTGATGGGCTCTGAGTGGTGTGAATAGTGATGGGCTCTGAGTGGTGTGAATAGTGATGGGCTCTGAGTGGTGCAAATAGTGATGGACTCTGAGTGGTGTGAATAGTGATGGGCTCTGAGTGGTGTAAATAGTGATGGGCTCTGAGTGGTGTAATAGTGATGGGCTCTGAGTGTGTGAATAGTGATGGGAGTCTGACGTGTGTGTGAATAGCGATGGGCTCTGAGTGGTGTGAAAAGTGATGGGCTCTGAGTGGTGTAAATAGTGATGGTCTCTGAGTGGTGTAAATAGTGATGGGCTCTGAGTGGTGTGAAGAGTGATGGGAGTCTGACGTGTGTGTGAATAGTGATGGGCTCTGAGTGGTGTGAATAGTGATGGGCTCTGAGTGGTGTAAATAGTGATTGGCTCTGAGTGGTGTGAATAGTGATGGGCTCTGAATGGTGCAAATAGTGATGGGCTCTGAGTGGTGTAAATAGTGATGGGCTCTGAGTGGTGTGAATAGTGATGGGAGTCTGACGTGTGTGTGATCGGTTACGTATTGCGGAACTCTGCAGCATCCCATTAGCATGGCTGGTGTGATCTCCGGCCACAACGGTTTTCCACTGGAAGCAGGCCTTGCAAAAGGTGGCCGGTCCAAACAGTTACACCGTGATGTCATTGGGGCTTTACGACGCACTCAGCTGCTGAGGCTATATGGCGTCGCCTGCCTCTCACCCTGGCAGGAAGGGCGGACACCGCGGGGAATCGAACCCCGTACCTCTCGTTTCCCAGACGCGCAGTGGTTAACGCAGACGCCTTAACCACTACACTACAGGCACCACCAAAAACAATGACACCGAACTTGAAGAAAATTGTGCTCCAGATATGGTTGAACACATGTCGGTTCTGCGCCCCTAAAGGCAAACATGTTGGGAGCAGACATGTGATAATCAGACAGGAGAAACTGATAAAATGAGGGGCGTCGAGCGCCCAGTTTTCATCACAGCATACTGTACGATGCAACTCACAAAGGACGCACCGGTCAGCAAGCAGGCAATGCAATCAGCAACCGTGTGGCATGCGCACAAGGCTCAGCTCACGTGAATGTTCAGTTCAGTTCACACGTTCTATCCACATGAGGTTCAGTCCACAGCGCATCCACGCTCTCCCCTGTCACGTGCTGATCCTCCACAGTTCCTCTGACACATGCACCAAGCCCAGCCAACATAGCACCTGGCATCTCTGGCCAGTCCTCACAGGCGCGCTTGCGTGCCTTGACATATCAACATGGGCACGCTCGCCACGGAACTACGGCGCTGGCTAGGGTGGAGGGAGGGCGGGGGGGGGGGGGGCGCTAACGCTGATGAACCGGAGACTGCGGCCCGATTTCCACCGCCAGAAGCTCTCGCTGGCCGCAGTTTCCGCCAGATGGCAGCACCAGCGGCCTGACCGCTGGCGAGCGGCGACCGACAGCCAGCCGCGGCTGAACCTCGCTGGACGCGAGATTTCAGGCTGCCCTCCCCTCCCTCTCCCCCACCGGACAGCAAAACACGACAGCACTCGGCACTCGGCCCACAGCGCCTACTGCACCTTTCAGATAATAAAACTGCTCTGGGCTCCCTATATCTTCTGGAATGAAATCGGCTACGGAAGCCCGACCTCTGGGGGGGGGGGGGACGTCCCTCTACCGTGTCTGACGCCCAGCCCGACCTCTGGGGGACGTCTCCTCTGCCGTGACCGACGCCCAGTCCGACCTCTGGGGGATGTCTCCCTTATCGTGTCCGACGCCCAGCCCGACCTCTGGGGGGACGTCTCCTTTGCCGTGTCCGACGTCCAGCCCGACCTCTGGGGGACGTCTCCTCTGCCGTGTCTGACGCCCAGCCCGACCTCTAGGGGGGGGGGGACGTCTCCCCTGCCGTGTCTGACGACCAGTCCGACCTCTGGGGGGACGTCTCCTTTGCCGTGTCTGACGCCCAGCCCGACCTCTGGGGGGACGTCTCCTCTGCCGTGTCTGACGCCCAGCCCGACCTCTGGGGGGACGTCTCCTCTGCCGTGTCTGACGCCCCGTCCGACCTCTGGGGGACGTCTCCTCTGCCGTGTCTGACGCCCAGCCCGACCTCTAGGGGGGGGGACGTCTCCCCTGCCGTGTCCGACGCCCAGCCCGACCTCTGGGGGGACGTCTCCCCTGCCGTGTCCGACGCCCAGTCCGACCTCTGGGGGGACGTCTCCTTTGCCGTGTCCGACGCCCAGCCCGACCTCTGGGGGGACGTCTCCTTTGCCGTGTCTGACGCCCAGCCCGACCTCTGGGGGGACGTCTCCTCTGCCGTGTCTGACGCCCAGCCCGACCTCTGGGGGGACGTCTCCTCTGCCGTGTCTGACGCCCCGTCCGACCTCTGGGGGACGTCTCCTCTGCCGTGTCTGACGCCCAGCCCGACCTCTGGGGGACGTCTCCTCTGCCGTGTCTGACGCCCAGCCCGACCTCTGGGGGGGACGTCTCCTCTGCCGTGTCTGACGACCAGTCCGACCTCTGGGGGACGTCTCCTTTGCCGTGTCCGACGCCCAGTCCGACCTCTGGGGGACGTCTCCTTGCCGTGTCCGACGCCCAGCCCGACCTCTGGGGGGACGTCTCCTTTGCCGTGTCTGACGCCCAGCCCGACCTCTGGGGGGACTCTCTCTGCCGTGTCTGACGCCCAGCCCGACCTCTGGGGGGACGTCTCCTCTGCCGTGTCCGACGCCCCGTCCGACCTCTGGGGGACGTCTCCTCTGCCGTGTCTGACGCCCAGCCCGACCTCTGGGGGACGTCTCCTTTGCCGTGTCCGACGCTCATCACCGGCTGACTCACTCGAGGATTTCGTTGCTGAGCTCCTCGGCCTGCTCGCGCGCCTGCTGCTGCTCCTCCACCAGCTCGTAGTACTCGTCCAACCGCTGCTGGTGGTGCTGGAACTCCTCCCGCAGCTGCTTCAGCTCCTCCTCTGGCGGCGGAGTGGGCGCAGACGACGGTGAGGCGGAGGGCGGTCATGGCGGTGACGGCCGATGCAGACGCGATGGCCAGGATAACGGCGATGGCGGCGCTGCTGGCCAGGGTCATGTCCGTGCTCATGCGGGGTTATGTGCGCCTTCCCTCCCCCCCCCCCCCCCCCACACACACACCTTGCCTTTCTACATCTCCAGGATGCGCGAGAATAAATGTTATTCCCAACAGTTTCTCAGAAAACGCGTCAAAATAATAAAATCAACAGCAGCCGATATGTTTTACGGCCAGCAGCGAATGTCGCACGCTCGCAGCGACCGTGTCTTTGACGTAACACGGAGTTGTGCCGGCGCCCGCCGGTTGCGGAGCCCCCCACAGGCCGCCGGCGACGGGGCGACGGCCGGGGCCTGCGTGGAGGCAGCCGCTGGACGCGCTGTGGTGTGCGCGCGGCTCGTATGGAGCGGCGAAATGAGACGCACCGGACACGAGCCGTGGCGCATGATCAGCGGTAAGGCGGGGAGACGCACTGATCTATGGTCAGCACTGGTCACTCACAGGCGCTCCGAAATACGGGACAAACACGGCGGACAAGGCGATCGCTTCACTAGCAGTGAGTCAATAGCTCTCTTAACTGCGATGTCGTGGACAATATTCGGCGTTTCGTAGAAAATTCATCGCATCTATGGATCTTCTTTTGCTACCTTCACGCAATGCACCTTAATCTCTCCAGAAAAAAAAAATGATGGAAGCTGACGTTAGCCAACACGCATGGCCCAAAACAACACAGAACAATTATAAGCCCGCACAAAGCCATGCACAAACATGTCGTACCAGCGACGGGTTGTAGATGCGCAGCAAACGTCCAGGACAATGGTCTGATGATGATGATGATGATGATGGCGACTAGGGTTTTGCGGCGCGCTGCCCACTATGGCCATTTTGCGCCCGGAGACTTAAATGACCGGCAAAGGATCCTATGTGTGTCAAAAGCGCAAACGTCTAACTGATGGCAAGCAAGCAAAAATCGTTACCAACAGCGTCCAAATACGTAAGGAATGGAAGGTGCGGCCCGAGGGTGACTAGGGTATTTCTCGCCCAGTTATCCCTCTGCACAGAGAACGAAGAGGAAAAAAGTTGGTGGCGTCACTCACGCGAGAAGCCCGCCTTCTCCGCCTTCTCCCACAGCCGGTTCAGCTTCTTGTCCTTGAAGAGGAGCGCGGCGCTGGCCGGGCTGGGGGGGCTGGCGCCGGCGGAGCTGGCGGCGCTGGCGGGACGCGCCACCGTCGCCCCCTCAGGCCGGTACCGACCCAGGCCGTATTTGTCCAGGGTCTCTGCAACGGCCGAGACCCTGAGCTGGGGGAGCAGCGCCGGGTGGAGGGCTTTGGGGCTTTGAGGGTCGTGTTGCTGCCCGGACGACGTACGCCATTTGTATTTTGTGAAGTCGTGACGTTGAAGAGTTGGTGTGACGTTTGAGAAGCAGCTGGACACGAGAGATGTGAGTCACCAGTAGTCGGCGCGTCGAATTCACCGTTTTTTTTTTTAGACCGGTTCACAACTACAAGCTGCCGCGGCTTAAAAAGACGACATTTGTCCTGCAAGCAGCATCAATGGCCCCGGTTCAACCACGTTGCATCACGCTCTAAAAACGGGGCTCCCGCTTTAAAACAACGCAAGCTGTAATGCTGTCATCACGTACCATAAAATGTCATTTTCCCAATCCATAGGCCGATGACTCGACCGTCTGATACATCCAAAATGCCCAATTGTTGTCTCTAACGCGGCAAATGCTGGTAAATGACACGGCCCCAACGACGCAGACATACAAGATTCAACGCTGTGACCAGCTTATTAACAGCTCATTAACACGCTAAAACACGCGGCTCATTATCTTCACACCGAGTCTGACAGCTGGACGCAGGCTGTCGCCGGTGTCGGGGACACCCGCCATACCGAGCAGCTGCGTGCGAAGCTGCGCCTCCTTCAGGCCGTCTTTGTCGCCGCCCTCGTTCTTCACACGCTTCCACGTCAGCTCCTGCTTGTCCTGCAGCATCAGCGCGGACCTTAGCGCCTCCAGCTTTCCGGCGCTGAGCACCTGTCAACACCAGGGCCGGCGGGGTCAGCGTCTGTGACGGATGTTCCACCGGCGGTGAAGGCTGGGGGAGGGAGTACTGAGTTCGTCACCGGCGGGGGCGCCGCCAGCGACGCACCACGAGAACCGGGGCCATACCTCAGTTCTTCATCGGCGCATACTCAGCACGGGAATAGAAAGCCCGAACACCTCCGCCGAGAAAAGCTCGACGCAAGTCGACAATCACCCAAACTCCTTTCCACCTCCTCTTTAAAGCCCAAACCACTCGGAACGTGATCTCTCCCCCGCTCCCTGCCAAGACAGGTAACGGAACGGTCTTCAACGGCTGGAGCTCCTCGGTGAGGAGGAACTCCAGCCCACTTCCCGCTCAAGAGAGATCACCGCAACTCCTCATCGTGGCTTGAGACACGCGAAAATTCGGGAAAATGATCGCGATAAGACCTATAGAAATGATCCTGTAGAAGTAAGGTCTTAATGGTGAAGTGCGCTCCAAACGTTAAACGTATTTTACGCTGCCTGACAGCAGCGAGATTTTAAAGGAATCGCCCCAGCATTTGAATGTGGCTGTCGAAGGCTACTCCATATGCATACTGCAGTGAAAACCTTTGGTGAAATTCAATACAAGCGCTACGCCTGCCGCTGGAGAACGCCCGAGAGACCGAAAATGACCACCGCTTCTTTGTTTTTTGGAAATCCTCCGAGACAGCCACCTGTGAGCATTGGTGAGCACCATTCATTCCCTCACCACTCACCAGACCACTTTTTCCGGCCCGTCAGCTGTGAGCAGGACCGGTTTCAGCATAGCTATGGCGTTGGAACAAACGGACCAAATGGCATTGACCTTCCGCTCGTTCCTGAGGGACGCGGACCAAAATTGAATCAGTCGCAAAATAAAGAATTAGTTTTATCAGCTGATCAGCCACCACGTGCGCATCTAACATCTCATCACCCCACTCAGCCCTTGACTGGCGCCGCCTCTGATTCCGGCATTCCTCCTCAGTGACGTCGGCATTGAGCGCCAGCTGTTGGCGAGCCGCCAGCTGACAGCAGAACAGCTGATTCACAGCGCTCAGGGGAGGGACGGGGAGGATGGCGGGTGGGGGAGGGGGGGAGGTGCACAAGGGGGGGACCAAGAAAACCACGAGACTGTGACAGTGCTGACAATAGATCGTTTACAACGTGAAATTAAAATGCACGCTATACACATGCGCCATGATTGATGCCTTACACGACACCAGTACGGTTCCAAACGTCCGTCCCCATAGCTCAGTTGCCTGGGGCGCCTGAGTTCTGGTCCGCCCGTCCGTTGCAGGGCGGGTTCGGGCCGCGGCGAGGCTGCCACGGTTTGCCGCCGCCTACGATAGCCCGCGGCCGGCCGCAGCCGCCGCGCTTTTCGTCGTTAGATGGCGCCAGCGTGCGGGAAGGCCCCTCCAAAGTGGTGCTGCACATTAAGCTTTCGTCACAAAATTACCTCGTTGACCGAGTTTCACGATGGAATGCTGGGATCAGGGCACGTGCCACAAGTCATAGTTGGCGTCAAGTCCGCAGGCCATGGCAGATGTGATGACATCTCGGCCAGAGGAGGGCGCAATATCAAATTCGTGGTAGGTTCTCAAAATTTTGCGGCATAATTTATGCAATTGTACGTGGCGGGCATCATGATGCGCTTTTTAATACGACAGAAGATGGCCAAATCTGATGATAAATCCCGTTTCGGAGCAAGTAAAATCCATAAACTATGCTCCAGGTGGGGAAGCTTACCATGCAATTTGGGACAGAATCCTGTCTGTCCCCGAACATCCTGTTGGCATGCTTTTCACGGTTTACAGACTGGCTTGGCGTTGGCGCTGACCCAACTCATCCAACCAATCAAAACGTTCGAACGGCATCTTTGCAAAACCCATCAGCATCCGCCCCTCAATCTCCAACCGTAGGCTCGCCCCGAGTCTCCACAACGTCCCGTCTCCGTGGGGCCTGCTGCGGCCGTCAGCCTCCGCTGGCTCGGGGGCCGCCCTAGCGGGAGCACCGCCCACACAAACCCCCGATAGGACGCGGTAGCGGGGTCGCCCTCCACGGACGCCGTGGTGCCTCGTGGTCCGCAGCACCAAGTGGTCAGTGCTGGCTAAAGCGGTTCTAATCCCAGCCAGGTCATGTTTTGTCCCTTTACTTTATATGTGGTCAGCGGAATGATGTCATCGATTGTGGATGTGATAGTACCCCCACTACGCGAGGCAGGAAAGCCCGCGACAGTCATTTCGCAAAATGAGTTAGCGGTGGGGTTCTCGCTGGACGTCAGCTTTATTCTAAAAAATTGGCTTGATGCGGCGCAAACTGGGGGAGAGCTGACTCCCAAATCCAATACGAAACCGCAACTCTGAGGCCACCGACAACGCACAGAACGACCGGAGAAATAGTTGGCCCAAATGCTGGGTAAGCATGGCCACTAGCAATGATTATAGTCATATCAATTACAATTTAACATTATAGTTTCGTCGCTTTCGGGCGGTTTACCAGATTGGGTAAAGTAAGTTCAAAAAGTGTTGTATTCCATACTTCTGATGTTTTTTTTTATCCACAGCTTAACGCTGATAGCAGCTTAAAGATGCAAGTTGTTTTCCCAAAGGTGAGGAGTGGAGGCGGTTACGCGAACACAGGATCAGGAGGGGGTCCACTTTCAAGTAATCCCTTTACGCTTGTAGCAGGAAAGAGGACGCTCAAGCTGGGAGTTGTCAAGAACACACCACTGTATACAACTGCGGAAGGCAATCACCGGTAGTTCAACTATCTGCACATGGGCCAAGAGTATGCGCATGCGTTTAAGCGGGATAGCCCACCATCAGGAGCCGTCAACCCCCAGTGTGACGTACCCGCATCCACCCAATCCCACAAACAATTTTTTCCATACGTACGCCAAATAACAAACCACTCAGAACGTGATCTCTCCCCCGCTCCCTGCCAAGACAGGTAACGGAACGGTCTTCAACGGCTGGAGCTCCTCGGTGAGGAGGAACTCCAGCCCACTTCCCGCTCAAGAGAGATCACCACAACTCCTCATCGTGGCTTGAGACACGCGAAAATTCGGGAGAATGATCGCGATAAGACCTATAGAAATGATCCTGTAGAAGTAAGGTCTTGACAATTGAGTGCGCTCCAAACCATAAACGTATTTTGCGCTGCCTGACAGCAGCGAGATTTCAAAGGAATCGCCCGAATATTTGAAAGTGGCTGTCAAAGGCTACTCCATATGCATACTGTAGTCAAAACCTTTGATGAAATTCAATACAAGCGCTACGCCTGCCGCTGGAGAAAACCCGAGAGACTGAAAATGGCCACCACAATTTTGTTTTTTGGAAAAATTCCGAGACAGCCACCTGTGAGCATTGGTGAGCACCATTCATTCCCTCACCACTCACCAGACCACCTTTTCCGGCCTATCAGCTGCGAACAGGACCGGTTTCAGCATCGTGAGGGCGTTGGAACAAACGGACAAAACGGCTTTGACCGAGAGACTCGTTCGCGAGAGATACGAACCAGAATCGAATCAGTTATAAAACAACGACCAGCTTTGTCAGTTGATCATCCACCACGTGCGCACCCCGCAACCCATCACCCCACTCAGCCCGTGCCTGGCGCCGCCTCTGATTCCGGCATTACCCACCAGTGACGCCAGCACTGAGCGCCACGTGTTGGCAGGCCGCCAGCGGACCGCAGACCAGTTGATACATAGTGCTCCACATTGTATGATCTTGTGAACTTTCACTGGCATGCCAGGCTGGGTTGACTACTGTCAGAAAAGTGCCTTTTCCAGTATATAATGACGTTTTCCTTTTGTCCACAGTTTAGAGCTGATTACAGCCAGAAAATGTTAAGTTTTTTTCCCAGGGTGAACATGTGGCCATAAAATTACCAGGTCATCTTTAGCCTTTTATGATGTTCACCTCATTGTGATTTACTTTTCACCATTCAATAATTTCTCTCAACCATTTTGTACTAATGGCTGGGTGGACATGAACTTTCACTGGCATGCCAGGCTGGGTTGACTACTGCCAGAAAAGTGCCTTTTCCAGTATATAATGATGTTTTCCTTTTGTCCACAGTTTGGAGCTGATTACAGCCAGAAAATGTAAAGTTTTCTTCCCAGGGTGAACATGTGGCCATAAAATTACTAGGTCATCTTTAGCCTTTTATGATGTTCACCTCATTGTGATTTACTTTTCACTATTCAATAATTTCTCTCAACCATTTTGCACTAATGGCTGGGCAGATATGATTGGATTGCAACTTTTGCAGGAGATAGTCAGCAATGGTCCCATTATCACATGTTCGGGAAAATTTGTCTGATGTGTGGAATAAGGAATATGATCTCCAGTCCCCTAGCTGCTTGATACAACAGTCTGATGCATTCAGCAAATGATATTGGAAATGCTTTGAAAACCACTCCCAGTCCTCTTGGTCCACTCACCCAGAGGGGGACAACAAGTTTGTTCACTCAAGTCTTAAAAATGACAAATAATGTGCACAAATATAATATCATTAAAACACAATAAATGGTGAGCTGTCTCACAAGCAAGGGTATGTTTGGGATGGAAGGGAGGGACACATAGTTGCTAGACTTGGAAGGAAATCTCTGCACCTTTACTTAAGCTATTTAAAAAATTCCTAATTTGTTTGAGAAAAGTCCTTGAGATCAAAGGGAGCAAAATCAGATAAGCTTTTCAAACAGATGACACTTGCTTGGATTCAGGCCCCAATGCCGCAAGGAAAGCCTCTGCCACAGCAGTGTTATGAATCCACTCAAGCTCATGCCACTGACATTAATGTGCATAAGCCTACACTGTCAGCTGTAAACACCTAGCATGTCACGAGAAACCCCGAGGACTGGGCAACTATGAAGGTGCTTGTTATACTATGAAAGACTGGTGCTAGATTAGATTACATGGGGTTAGGTTAGGTTAGATTGTATTTGAAATGGCACATGCAATAGTTGTTTATATTATTCTGGTTGTCTAGTGTGTTAGTTACAGAGTTTTAGCTAATTGCCCTTCTGGCCATCACTGGGTACATTCTCATAGAGACCTGAGAAGGAATGGGTCATGCTTACTAATCATCAATGCTTGAGTATATGTCATGACTGGAATTCCCTTCTCAGAATAGCTGGGATTTAAGCTAGGGTCATCTTGATTGCGAGTCCAGTGTTCTACCAACCAAGCTAACCAAGAGCAAGACTAGCTCAGCTGATGAAACACTGTCAAGGAGAAAATTATGGCTATGGCACATACATAAATGAAAGTCAAGCATAACCTAATCCTTCTAAGGATACATAATATCTGGCAATGGCAGACAATTACTTCACTAAAATAAAGTGTAACTAACAAAACAGATGAAGATGATGGTTGTAATGATTAAGTCAGTTGTGATACTAATACCTCAACCTTTCATAAGTGTGCAAGTTTAGACTGCTCTGGTTCAGTCTGGTCTGGTATGGTCTGACATGGTCTGGGTCTGGTCTAGTCAGATTAGGTCAAGATTAGGTCAGGTTCCATGAAGTTCTATTACTTTCTGACCAACAGATAATATTAAGCAAAACCTAGCTATTCTTGTAATGTACAACTGATGTAAGTATCCAATGTTGATTTCCACCAATACTTCTTGGCAGCAATACTAAGTGCCGTCAAATGATAGTGACAGTTATAATGGTAGGGATCTGGGATAGGATAAGATCATTACTTCAATTACAATAATTCCACATCATTTGGGAAAAGGAACACGCACTAGTCAGCTGGCCAAGCAAGGCAAGCCAATCTAAAATACACTGTGCAACAATACATGAGCAATTGTGTGATAAGCGGAAGCTTAATTAGCTAACTGACGCAGCATCAGGCCATTCAAAACAAGCCTTCAACAACAGCTGTAGCTGGTCAGGACTACGCGCTCCCCAGCAACCTCTGCATGCCATGCAGCTAGTTTTGTTTACAAAGATTGCCGAAGATTACCAAAACCACATACCTTCTTTGCCTTCATCCAAACCTGATTTATCTTGGACATTCGAAATGGTGCATCATCACTACTCTGCCCGGGGTCTGGGGCATTTCTCGCACCCTGATTTGCCTCCTTGCTGTACTTGCTTTTTGCATGAGCAAGGCCTACACAAATCAGAAACAACAGTGCATGCAACTTCGCCATCTCACAATATTGCGTTCAGTTCCTTGAGCAAGCGATATTACAATGCACTGTAACGAGCACCTGTTCGCTTCTAACGCACCACGAACTGTTCCATATAAATAGGTATGCTACCCAAATATCTCACGAAGCCCTGCGTTGCATAACAACATGAACAAAACGGTACCGCCCCCAAACACCGCCCGCGGAATCGCATACAATAACACAAATAATGATAACAGTGCGCTGCTTTTGAAGCAGTAACGCATTACAAGTCTACCAAATAGTAGGAAAAAAGACAAAAAGTGAGCAGCATAGGAAAAACTACGAACCACCACGAGAGAGCAAGCGTTTTCTTCCATAAAATGTAATTGAAATATCTTTTAAATGTACGGAAATTAGCTCATGATTTGTTTTGATAAGTTCCAGATATTCAAGACCATTTTCTTACAAAAATAAAAAAGTTATTTCTGAGAAATGCCACGCTACGGTAAAAGGCGCAATGCGCCAGCGGGAGGTTTGGATAGGAAAACATAAACAGCAACGGGCCGAGATCCTGTGTAGGGTTCTCTGTGCATCGTTGGTGCGATATTTCGCTTTAGGGACGCTAGACTAGTGTTTTATCAGCAACTAGATTGAGAGCAGAGGTATGTATTGCCATTAGCATTGCACACTGAGGGCGAACTAATGGATATGCGTATGTTTTTGTTTGGATCTGAATGGGCTAGCCCATCATATTTACTGGGCCGGAGTACTGGTTTGATTTTCGGTGAGCATCAAAAGGTAATTTTTTAGTCATACTCACTGCTAGTTTTGCTCTGCCACACTTTCAGGGAAAATAGGCATGATGTTAACATGAACCACTGCACATTGTGGAATGGTAGTGAGTCAAAAACAGTCGTATTTTTGCCGAGTAAAATGGTCTCCTTTACCATGCAATTAGTTCACTAAGAAATGTTGGTGCCATTTCACAACTATGAGAATCCTGGGAAATATTTTCTTTTCTTCCTACAGCTTCTCCTTCTGCCAGCACTATCAGCTATATGAACTGGTTTGCAAATCATTGCAGACTTTTGACAGAACATTGTGGGGCAGATGTAAGCATAGCTTTCAAGCCAGGGTAGGTAATGAAAATTTTGGGCAGAAATTATGGCAGTGGAGCACTAAGGTCATGATGTGTTTTATGGTACACACAATTAGTATAACAAAACATGAAATCTGATGGTAAATAATGTTTTGGGGCAATTAATGTACACAAGAACTGCTCTGAATGGGACAGTTTATTATCACATTTGGGGTAGAATTATGTCTGCCCCAGACACTTGTTGGCATATTTGTCATCATTCACAGACTTGCATGCATATCTAACTGATTTGTTGTGGAATATGTACTCCATTTCAGCATGCCAAGACTAGAAACACACATGAAGGAACACTGTCTTGACATCTCAATTTACAGTAATTTTTACTGGAAAATAATAGAGATTCATTCAAGTATTTGTTCTTTTCCACTCACCGTAAATGGGCTTCTGGTTGATGGATGTGTATGTCCTTACTATGTACAGTTTTGCATGAAGACAGCACAGTATTTAACTTTTTATGGGATATAAGGGCAGGATGCTAAAAAACATTTTTGTAAGTAGTCTTGGGCAGGCACTTCATTGTCCCCATTCAAAGTAAACATTGCATGTGCATTATCTGCATAGCTTGTTACACCTTTTGCCTGCCTGGACTGTTATGTACATGTAACTGTAGATGGACATGTTGTGTCTTGGCCAGTCTACATGGCATGTGTCTGGTGTGTGAAGTGTCTGTAGATGAGAATGACAGGGCATATACACCAAGTTTGTTGGAAGGCAAATTTGAAACTCATGGTGGTGTTGCACTTTTTATTGATCCTGGTTCATAAATTACATTAATATCTAAATAAGCCAAGTCTGCTGCTGAAAAAGTATGCTGGTGCTGCAAAGTGTGGTAAATCTTGAAACAAAATGCATGGCACACCTATTGTTTTACATTCCACCATTCAATAATGATTTTGTGCTCCATGATTGGAAAATGTTTTCCTCTGCAACAAGAAATAGGAGCAGATGACATCATCGCCTAGTATGCTTGCAAGGCAAAGTAAAAGTACATTCTACACCCAAGGCTGGATACTTTATGGATTACCATGCAATTTAACCATTGTGTCTTCCTGCGGTGTCTTTGTTAGTGTTGGGCCGATGGATATTGCCATTAAAAGGAGTGTTCCACATTTTTATGGGGTTTTGAATTGAAAAGCCATGTTGAAGATCTTTTGATGCAGCTCCCAAACATGTCCTTGTTAAGACCGGAAGCCTTTTGGCTCCTGCTCTAGAAGACCGCAAAGATATGGGAGAAAATTTCAAGGGCACCTTGGCATCGTGACGACATGATAACAGCATTAAAATTCTACCATTCCATAACTTATGTGGCGATCAAAGCCCAGAAAAGTGTCGTGGTTGAGTCGTTCACATTTGGCGCTCATGAGCACGATTTCAAGATATATACAGCCGTCAGTTGGTTCTCAACCAATATCCAGCAACCTACCGCAACGTAATAAAAAAATGATGCTTGGAGGAGCACGTTTACTAAACAGAGAACTTGTCTTGTCTACTGGCAGGCTTTTCTACTTAAAAGTATACCATTAGCTATAAGTGAGCTTGTTTCATCATGTCTGATGCCTGCTTTAACATCTCCAAATGTGAAATGTTGCCTGTTAAGGTGATGGCAATCTGTGAAATCGACTGTGATCTGACGGAACAGCTGATAGAACAGGTGATGTTTGTTCCCAGGTGCGGGCACACTGCCACAATGGGAAAAACTGCAACACAGCAAGCCAACAAGAATGCCATCACCCTGAAGGGATCTGCTGAAATTGTGGCCGAATTTTTCAGTAAGAGCTTAGTGCATCTGATTATGCAAACACTCATTGCATGTTTCTCAACATCAGTTCTCATGCATTGAATGATGTTAGTATCATCACTAATCATTATGTGCTGTATAAACGTGTGTGTTATGATTGGCTGAAGTAGAGCAGAGTTATTGCATCAACATATTTGGAAAATCCACCCACTAGTTGTTTCAGTAAAATGACATCTTTTGCAAGCAGTATATGTGCTTCAACATCATGTGCTATGTGCTAGTGCGCAGCATGAACACCCACTGGCCACTTTGCAATGTGCAAAGCTTGTAGTCCACGCCGAGCGTGTCCCTTCTCCGGGAAATAGCATTTCAAACCATGCCACGAATCTTCCAACTTATCAAACTCGTTCGCGAGCCATTATGCTGTGTCGTGCGCCAGTGTGGAGTCATATCACCTGCCTGTGAGTGGTACCATGTTCTGCTGGACCCGTGCTGGTCTCTGTGCTCCGCCGGCCTTCCAGCCAGGGATGCTCCGTCATTGGCTGGCCACAGCGTCCATCGCCGAAGCACTTGGCAGCCGTACGTATTGACGCGCGCCACCGGGAGTAGCTAAGGCCTGGCGAAAGGCTGTGGGAATCACAACCGCAAGGACGTGGGTTCGAGACTGGGTACCGGCTGCCTTGCACTTTACCCATCGCGACCAGCGGAACACATCAGTGAAGAGCATAGTCCCCGCAGCGGTACGACACCGGTGCCAGACTGTCGGGCACTCGGGCGTCCCGACTCAGCACGTTGCATTGGCGAGATGCCGGTGCGCGGGCCAATGAGAGATCCACGCAAGGAGCGGGGCAGTAGCCGCCGTCGTCCCGACTCAGCACATAACATTGGTGAGATGCCGGTGCACGGGCCAATGAGAGATCCACACAAGGAGCGGGACAGTAGCCGCCGTCGTCCCGGCTCAGCACATTACATTGGTGAGATGCCGGTGCGCGGGCCAATGAGAGATCCACACAAGGAGCGGGACAGTAGCCGCCGTCGTCCCGACTCAGCACATTACATTGGTAGGTACCGGTGCGCGGGCCAATGAGAGATCCACACAAGGAGCGGGACAGTAGCCGCCGTCGTCCCGACTCAGCACATTGCATTGGCGAGATGCCGGTGCGCGGGCCAATGAGAGATCCACACAAGGAGTGGGACAGTAGCCGCCGTCGTCCCGACTCAGCACATTGCATTGGCGAGATGCCGGTGTGCGGGCTAATGAGAGATCCACACAAGGAGTGGGACGGTAGCCGCCGTCGTCCCGACTCAGCACATTACATTGGTGAGATGCCGGTGCGCGGGCCAATGAGAGATCCACAGAAGGAGCGGGACAGTAGCCGCCGTCGTCGGTTGGTGACTGGGAAGGTCCGTCGCCGGCAGATTTTGGCATCAACAGCATACTGTACCAGCGGGGCATCTATCCGGCCGACTCGTTCCGACCTACGCAGAAGTACGACCTCACTCTCTGGGTCTCGCAGGACAACGAGGTCAACAGCTACCTGTCTAACATCATGGAGCAGATCAAAGGTAGACCTAGACGGCGTTAAACGGCAGAAGCGCGAGATACGCCTGATCTGGACGGCGCCATGTTTTGGAGTTCTTCTCCCTGCGTCTGTCATGGGAAGCACCTTGATTCTTGCCCATTACCTTGCTATTGCCCCAGGTCTTACCGTGTGCCCAGCTGGTGAGAAGTCCTTAGTGTGTTAGTGGCGCCAGATTTTGGTCGGAGCAGAATGGCTCTGGTCAGAAAGGCTGGAGGCTCGCATGGTACAGAGGCACGTAACCCCCTGTTCCCTCTGACCGGTGTGGCTGGAGGCTCGCGTGGTGCAGAGGCTGGCGCTAACCCGTGCTTCCTCTGACCAGTGTGGCTGGAGGCTGACGTGGTGCAGAGGCTGGCGCTAACCCCCTGCTCCCCCTGACCGGTGTGGCTGGAGGCTCGCATGGTACAGAGGCGCCAACCCCCTGCTCCCGCTGACCAGTGTGTCTGGAGGCTCATGTGGTGGAGAGGCTGGTGCTAACCCGTGCTCCCTCTGACCAGTGTGGCTGGAGGCTCGCGTGGTGCAGAGGCTCGTGCTCGTCATCTCGAACGTCGACACCAGCGAGGTGCTGGAGCGCTGGGAGTTCATCGTGGCCAACGAGAAGTCGCCCTCCGGTGACGGGTCAGTCCCCGGCCCGGACATGGTCACTGGGCTGCTGCGCAAGCGTGCAAACGCTTTTGGGTCCAATCGCTCGGTTGGAATAGACTCGCACTGGCGCTGGGAGATCGTAGCTCGTTTCGTAGTGAAGCGGTGAGCACCGTGTATCGGTGTTGCAGTCGTTGGCGATCAGTGAAAGGAAATGATGACACAACGGCGTGCGCCTCGCTTGACCTGAGAACGCTGCTCTTGAACAAGCTGCGTGATGGTGCTCAGGCCCCTTTTGTAACTGTCTTTCCGCTTCCGCTTTGTGAACGATGCTAGTTTCCTGGCTGTGGGAGTGAACTCGACGTATACGGAGAACTGCTGAGTACATTCATTGCGCGGTACTTTATCCATTTGTCTGCTTCGATCTCAGTTTTTCTGTCTCCCTGGCGCATTTTGTCGGATACATTTTACACATGTTAATCCGCCTTTGATCCCCCGGCGCCCATGGCTAGAGCCGGCTCCATGAGCCCAGCACGGCAGACTCCCGGCTGCCAGGGGCGTATTGGGCGTGGCTGACGGCGCCGCCTCGGTCCCGTCCCGGCAGGGCGGAGGTGGCCGGCACCAAGGACCTCAAGACCATCAGGAAGGAGGTGCAGAACGTGATCCGCCAGATCACCGCCTCCGTCACGTTCCTGCCGCTGCTCGACTGTCCGTGTGAGTCCCTGGACGGGCCGCGCTGTCCACCTGCTGCCGCCAGAGCGGTCGGGCGGCGCCAGTCGGGCACGAGCCGTTTGACAGCGTGACCGGTCGTGCACGCCGAAGCGTGGTGGAATGTCCGCTCGTGGCTCGCGCCCGGCCCATTGGCCCGGCTAGACGGCGTCTGGTTGTCGGTGCAGGCTTGCCAGCCGACGCTTGTGGAGGCGCGGTTGGCGGCGTGATCAGGTCGAACAGTCGGCGTTGTTTGTTTGTTTGTCAGACGTGGGCGCTTCCAAACTTAGCGTTGGTGGTCAGAAGCACGTTCGGAGCGCGCTTGTTGGTGCTCATCCCGACCGAGATTAGCCGCTTCCGGCTTTTTCCTGTGGCCCACGCGGTCATGTTCAGCAAAAGCTTCCATGCCGGGATTCGAACCCGCGACCTTCCGCTTCTCCGGCCGCAGGCTCCTTCAACCTGCTGATCCACACGTCGCGTGACGCCGAGGTGCCGGAGAAATGGGACGACAGCCCGCCCGGCTTCATCGCCAACTCGGAGCAGGTCAAGCTGCGCTCCTTCTCCACCAGCGTGCACAAGGTCGACACGGTCGTCTCGTACAAGTGCGACCTGTGAGCGGTCGCCGCCGGGAGTGAATGGCAAGTGAAGGGGTTTTGGCACGGTGTAAAGGAATTGTGGTGCTGCGCGAAGGGATGTGGAACCGATTGACCGTCCGCGGCGAACGATCGTGAATGGCGTTAATGGTGCAGCTGCATGGTCGTGACGTGTCTGGCCGTTGAGAGAGTGGTAGGTGCAGAAGGCTGTATCTCGAAGTGCATTGTATGTGTTTTCGCCGCTTGTGGTTGAATGAGGGAGCAGAGTAAGGGCCTGCGTAAAATGTGTCATTTATTGCCCTACTTGTTCCTTCGTATTCATCCTGGCCACGCTTGGTAACGTCTGTGCACGTCTTCGTAAATGCTCGTCCTTCCACCTTGTCGTTTCTATTTTTACCCTAACGGTTGAAGCCAAATGGCGTGCGTTGTGCAGCGAAACATGTGGGCCTCATTGCCCAGCCGACCGCTTCATTCCCTTTTACTCCTGCACCGTACGTTTTGTTCACGTCGAATGAAATCCGCCATTTTGGGGAGTGCGAAGGGCTGCTTTTCTGCTGAAAGGCTGACAGGCTGCGTCTCGTCGAGAGCTGCCGCCACTCATCAATCAGAAATGTCCGGCCTGGCTCCTGTGCCGCGGCGAAACGCCGGTTCACTGTCCGCGCACGCCGCTGCTGCTGTGCTCCCTATAGCCGTACGGCTGTGGGCCGGCCGCGGGCGCACGCTTCACCTCTGTCACCGCAGCGGTGGCGGCGTGTTCGTCTTCGCCCGGTGGCGGCAGGGGCCGTGTGCGGCCGTCCGGTGGTCGAGGATTACCAATGGAGAGCATTGCAGTTGCGTTGTCGCCATCCGACTGGTTCACCCCGCGTGAGCCCCGTAATACACTGCATCGGCCTGTTAGCCCGTGCTCTGGCAAATGATTTTTTTTTGGGGGGGGGTGTCGACAGGCCCACGCGCACGACGCCTCCGGTTTGTCTTATATCGTCATCGAGTATGTTTGCCGAGCCTTGGGGAAGTGGAAGGAGCGTTGGAACTCAAACAGCGTTACGAGCTGGCTGCATCGTACCCTCACTGTACCTCTGGAAATTATGACGTGAGATGTATGGTCAGGGGGGTTGCTGGCATTGTCGGCTCATCCCTGACATAACTGGCAGCCTTGGCTATACTGGCAACGAGCATAGTTCTTTCTCGTGAGGCTGGTGTAAGAACTAGGATGTGAGTCGTGCGACCAAACGGTGAGGGGGTGCCTAGGTAACGATTCTTCGCGAGCATTGGTATACAAAATGTTGGAATATATTGAGAATTGCTCATAAATAGTAAACTTGAGATCAGTATTGCGACGTATTTGAAAGGATTCAACCTAACGGAAATGTTTCTAGTTTATTCTTTCCTGGACGGAACCAGCGAAACACTGACTTCAAAACGGTTTTCGAAAGCCCTTCGGCAAGACTCCTCAAACAACGTAAGTGCTGAAGTACCTAACTTGCAACTTGTGTTCAGCCGTGATTTATGTTTGCGATTATGAATCCGAACGCTGCGAAAATGGAAGCACCACAAAGCACTTTGCTCTAGGGCTATCGGGCCAGTTCAAGGACATTGGACCATGCGTTTGGCATGGCGCGTTAAGTTGCGGCGTATGCACTGATCGATACGGCGTCTCATTTCCCCATGAGTTTTCTGTTAACGGTGTGTGATGGCTGCGAACTTGTGCTCTAACGCGGACTGCCATGGGATGCCGGTGTTACCTGGTGGCGCCTTGAGCTGGCAGTGTTCTGGTTCAAAGCGTCACGGCAAAAGGCGAATTACAGTGGCAGATATACTTCAAGAGCCCAGGGCTTTTTGGTGTGAAGCCGCAAGTCGGAATCATGCGTTTCTTCCCGCTCTAGTGGAAAGAGTCAGCAAATTTGTTGATAGGCCCAGTCCATTTTAAGGCCAAAACACTGCGTTCGTCTTTATTCACGTATTTTGTCCTTAAAAATGGATGCAGCGCATTTTGAAGGTGCCGTTGTTCTAAGAGCTGCTGTCCTTTAACAATGTGGCATTTTCTCTCCGCACTATTATTTTCACCGCATCTGTTTTGAGTTCGAAAAACACGCCAGCACCGTCTCACCCCTTCCCGTAAGTCCCGAATTACACGGCAACCGGCCTCATGCGTGCTGCCCTGAGTCCCTACCATGAGCCCGTGACGCCGTGACGCCGGGCTGGGCAGCTCGGGCCAGGGCGGCGCACTCGCACGCACGTCACGCGTGGCCGCCCCCCCCCCCCCCCCCGCCCGCCCAGCGCGCGCCGCTGGAGGCTCGTCCAGCGGCCGGCCGGCCGGGCAGTGAGCCGGCGGAGGTGGCGGCGGTGGGTGGTGCGCGGTGGGCAGGTGGAAGGTGGACCGGCGCAGGGTGGACTGGCGGAGGGTGGACGCGGTGCCGTGCTGCGGTTTGCAGCAGTCGGACAGCTTCGCTGGGCGGCGGAGAGGGCTCCTGACTCGTGGAGACCGTGCTGAGGACGGGAGGCGGACGTGGTCCGTCAGACCGCGGCCCATCAAACTGTAGCCCGTCATACGCACGTTCCCGCCACCGGCGCCGAGCTGGACACCGGGCGGTGTTTGGGACAGTGCGCTGGGGTCTCAGCGCAGGGCAGGAGACTCCGCAAGGGTGCATGTCTGATGCCCTGCGCGGGTTCGGGCGCGCTCGCTCGAACGTCCCAGCGTGACTGCTCGGCAGTGTCCGACCGTTGAGCACAGACAGGTGTCGACGACGACGGCGATTTTTTCATTCAATAGCCTGTTCTCGCCCGCCCTAGGCGTGTTTTTCGTTGCGGACGTGACAGCGTCTCGTGGTCATCCTCGCGCATCTCCTGGGGTCGCGCCGGTGACGTCATCAGATCGGGTGGGCGGCGACGCGGCTCGGCGTCACGGTAAGTGGATCGGAAGTGTGCAACTTCCGGCCCGCTCGCAGTTGAGCACGTGGGAAGCCACCATGTATTCTTTATGCCAGAACTCTGAAGATGGCTAGGCTGTGGAAATGCTTGTTATGAACTGGATGTTACTACATGATACCGCCAGACCGCTAGATTTCTTCCGATGTATGAATCTTTGCACACAACCAGCGAGATCCTTAGCCGTACGCAAATCTGGCGATTTTTGCCTCTCCGATAACGTGAGCAGACAATTAGCGTACGGCAAAAACCACATTGAATTTCATCAAAATGAGCGTCATTCTTGCCTCTCCCCGCGTATGATGAGCAGTTAGACAGTTTTACCTCACCAATGGCCGCACCAGCCCTCGTCACGTCGGCTCTATATCTTTAGTCCTTACCATAAATTTGTATTAATCTTGGTTGTCGCTTTTTAGCGACGGGTGACAGAGCATTACACTGTGTTCTATGCATTGTTTACCGATATACGTATTATATTCATGCACCTCTGGCTGACATGAAGCAGGCCTGCCGAAAACAACTGCCAAGGTGTGCAAAATTTACAGAACCACCGGTTCCGTGAATGTGATACCTTGACAGGGAACTACTCGTCCCTCGGCAGCGGTGGAAGCACAAGGGAGTTGGACAGGGAGGCAACCGTCCCTTCCCATTCGTCAATGGGGGTAAACATAGGTTGTTGTCCCCTTAAAACTCTGCAGTGGAAGCTCCACCAGGTCAACATGAGGCTACTGATGATGACGCGGAGCATTTGTAACATCATAAATGGCCCTGACGGCACACCGGAGACCACATCTGCCCGCGGAGGGCCCGCATCGTCGGCATCAGGCCCTGTTGATGATAGGAGGCCCCAGATGATTCAAAGAATGCCTCATTAGATGCATATGAAGCTCCATGGAAACCCCTGTGTTGCCAATCCAAGAGAAGTTCCGATTGATAAAACAGAAACCCCCACCAGGTTAAGATGAGGTTTGGTCACTTGCATGACCAAAAGGTAGAGGCGCACACCGCATTTTACAACTGGGTGCAACTCAGAATTGCGTATGAAAACCTAAATTGCGCGTGCGTGTCTGCGGCACGCATGCGAAATATTTTACATTTCATATCACAGCATTACGTGATCTCAATATAACCATTTTCAAGCGTCTATCGCGCCGTTTAGATGCTGGCATCTATTTACATGAATGTTCCTGATAACGGGGGGGGGGGGGAGCAGGACTATGTGCCCCCATGACGCCTTCCTGAATGCACCCCTGCCAAGGGATTCTTTTGAAAAATGGATAAAATCCAGGGAAAAACTTGGATGGAGGATGACATAGGGGGCTCACAATCTGCTTGGGAGGCCCCTAGATCTGCTTGCCCTCTTGGATAACCCCGTGGCGTCTTCATCACTATTCTTTGCAGAATTCACACCCTTGAACATGCGGACTGTACGCATTGGTATGTACTCCCGACCTCTTGAACGTTGCTCCTGCGTCCATTGTCATGCAATTTACATGTTGGATTCTTCCACGGGCTTCAGAATTTGGCGTTGAAAAACCGCATAGCCAATTAGCAAAACAGCCCATCGCGTTCCACTTCATGTTTTTTGGTGAGCAAAGGCTCTACGGGCGCCTGCTATGAAGGAGGGCTTCCAGCACAGTCCGTCATTATGTGAGTACCGCTCGCTCCAGAAGCTCCTGTTCTGCGCGGGAGGCGTCGTTCTCCCCCACACACCTGCCGGTCACGTCCAGACTTCCGGAGTAGCGCACGGGTCGGCGGGGGTCGCCGCCAGACGCCGTCCGTGTTCGGGGCGGCCGACTCCGGCCGCGGCGCCGGGCCGCGACCGGAGCCAGAGCCAGAGCCGCGCCGGCGGTCGGCTCGACAGGTTAATTGACGGTCGCTCCCCTACCGTGGGGCCGCGCGCAGCGGCGAGGGGCGGGGCGGATGTGGGGTGGTTCGTGATCCGGACCGTAAGCTGATCCCGTCCGTTCAGCTGAGGATCAGTGGCGGACCATGCACGGCTGGTCCACGGCTCTGAGGATCAGCAAATGCCGCAGAATCGTGCATTGGGCTATCTCGTTGTCACTGCACAGCGAAGCTGCCCAGTATGAAAGGCTTAGTTTTGCGCCCGCGTAATATACATGGCCAGGTTTGGGATCTCATCCATTGAAACTCATCCACTGACAGAGCAGTCTCTGTAGCATGCGTGCCTGCAGATATGTACAGACCTTTGCCGGTAATGTAGAGCACAGGGATGGGTTGAGATCATAGATTTTGGGTAAATGCAGCAACTGGACCAATTTGGATTGAAAAAATCTTCAAGCGTTCAGTGCGTTCAGATAGGTAATTGTAGAATAACAAAATGAACAGGAAAGTCCATATGAAGAGGGCATGTCTGGCAAAGTATAGATAATTTTATGGCTGATATTTTGTCTTTCATTCAAGTTATAGCCCGCAGTCAAAAGTATGGTACAACAGATAGGATTGGACTCAACTTTAAAATGAGCGGGGTGGTATAGCTTGAACGGATTACTAATCCAGGATAGCTGATTTAGTGGTTCGAGAATTTGTCCATGCTCGTAAACATTCACATCTAAGTAACCTCTGATCCAAACTTGATGTCGCGGCTGAAAACATTTTTGCCTTAGCGCATTGAGCCATACCGAATAGACCCTCGTTGTATTACGTCTTGCCGGGTACACCAGATATGAAATTGGTAGGTTATATTAATCCGGTTGCTGGGAATTCAGTCCATGATAGACCTTAATGCATAGGATTTTGAACGTGATCTGAGACGCACAAACCATGACGTCTACTTGGCAGCGTTTTACAGTGTTCGTGCGATTCACCACGGCTAATGCGCTAGGGTCAAGCAGGAAAACTCACTTTTAGAACTGGACCACGACCAGAGGCTTCACATCCCTACCGAACACATCCCGGACGAACGCCGTCATCGAACACGCCCCCGTCTGTACTACCCTGCTTAACATCCC